AGCTGATTCAATTTTAGAGGAGGGATCTCTTCCTATCTTGTAGGCAGCTTCTTTCCTGCTGTGTCTTCATATAGAATTTCCTCCAACACCTTCTAAAGGTCTTATCTCCAAGTACAGTCACATTGAGGGTTACAATTTGAACATCCAAATTTGGAGGGGACACAATTTAGTTCATAGAAATTGCCAACAAATAAGATTGGAAAATCTATGAGAACACTTTTGAGATGATATTGGGAATATACCACGAGTTTTGTTCAGAGGCCATAGATCTACCTATGGACAGCAAACTGTTAAACTATTAAATTAAAAGATAGATATAATATTCTGGAATTTAAGGCAGATGCCTGAGCTGGAGATATTAATTTGATAATTATTATTTCAATGATATTTATGTTTAGTTATGTGTAACTAAACAAGAGTATTAATAGAGAAAAGAGGAGATTCAAACACTGAACCATGGAATGCTTCAGGTGGAAGAAAGGATAGGGAGAAAACAAAAATATGTGAGAAGGGAGGTGAGAGAAGTTGGAAAAAAAAAACGAGATAGAAACCAAATGAGGAAAATGTTTCATGAAAGAAGGCAGGACCAACTGTGTCAAATGCACTGATAAGTAAAATGAGGTCTTACAATAACAGCTTGATTCAACAGCACAAAGTCTTGAGCAATTCAAAGGAGAGAACTACCAGAGCAGTTTAGGTAGAGTAGTAGAAGTCGCCTTTTGAAGTAGATTGAAAAGACAGGGGAGGAGAAACGTGAGACAAGTTTTTAGAATGGCTTTGTTATAAAAGCAAAGAAATGGGACAGTTTTTAGAGGGGGAGTAAAAGACAAGAGGAATAAAGGCATGTTTTTATATTTTGTCTTAAGATATAAAAATAACAACATGTCTATATATTGATAATGAGTCAACAAAAAAGGGAAAAATTAACAAAGAGGAGAAATACAGTTTCTGAAATGATGTCTTTGAATATGCAAGAGGGGTGGGATCTAGTCTGAAATGAAGGGCCCTAAGTTAGGCCTACATTTAAAGAACTCATCTATACTAATTGAAAGGAAGATAAAATGTAAGATTTCAGGTTATAGGGGACATGGAAATGAGGTAGTAGAGCTTGTGAATTTTTGTTTTTAATTTCACCTATTTATTCTTTTATAAAATCAGAAGCAAGATTACCAGCTGAGAGTGAGGAAGGGCAAAAGGTGGTAGAAATTTGAAGAGAGAGAAGCTATAACAAAAAGATTGAAAAAGAATGGATTATAGAACTTTGATACAATTACCAGTCAGCATTAATACGTGCCTTGAATTCACAATTAAGTGTCGTTTTTCTCTGGATATAGGAACTTAGTGAATGAAGAATTAAATTTACTCTAGATGGATGTTTCACCAAGCAAGCTCAATAAAGCAAAAATAAAATGATGGAATTAATAGTGCATGGAAGTGTGGGATTATAATTGTTCATGAGATGTAAAACGCTAAGAACTCAGAGGGTGTAAAGAAGAGTGAATAGTTAATAGAATTGATAGATTGTAGGTCCTTGTGAGTCAAAGAATTATTAATTATTTTAGTTTATTTATTTTACTTTAGGTGCATACTATATCTGGCATTTCTCCCCATGTCATCCCGCCACACCCTCCCATCCCTCTCCATCCCCCGCTTTCTGTCCCCAGTGTGTGATGCTCCTCTCCCTGAGTCCACATGTTCTCGTTGTTCGACACCCATCTATGAGTGAGAACCTACGGTGTTTGGCTTTCTGTTCAAAGAATTATCAAAATCAGGGTATCAGGGGGAGGCTGGAAATTGAGTTTGTGATGGGGATCATTAGTAGTGGTATTTTAAAATATGTGCATTGTAATGTGTGGTTATGATAGAGTGAATGATCAGTATACAGGAGAAAAGAAGGTCAAGGAACTGAGATGACAAAATAATGAATGAAAGCGCCTTTTATGTGAACATTGAAATCACTATCAATTGGGAAAAGAATGATATAAAGAATAGTTACAGTGATCCAGAAAGTAAAATCTTTACAGGAAGAAAGAAAATGATTTGCATATCACTAGATGACCAATTGGACATGTCATGGGAGGTATACAATGATACAAGAGTCCAAGCTGATAGAAGTTTGAAGAAAGAAACAAAATGGTCCAAAGCATTAGTAAATAACAAGGAAGATACCTAACTCAGCTCCAGGCTTAAAAGTATAAAACCATTGAAAATAAAAGAGGCAAGACTTAAAATAGTTACAGGTAAATTCATGTTTTCAGGTTGCAAGAGCTAGGTTTTAGGCATAAGTCTCTGAAGACAGAAGAAAGTCTTTAGAAGTTGGTGGAAGGTAAGAAATTAGTATAGAACAGAGGATTTGCAGAGCACTTTTGGAAATACATTATTAGAGATGAACAGTGAGTAGGAGAGTGCCTCTTCTTACGGTGACTGAGATAAACAGAAAATACAGAGCATAATGAGATTAGTCTTGATGGTCTCAAAGCAGATAATGGGGTTGAGTATGGGGCTTGAAAGAAATGGAAGTCTTGAAGTCTTGAATTCACTCGAGATTTTAAGGACAAGTAATTGTCAGTCTTACTCCAAGTGTATAAGAATAAATTTGGAACCCAGTGAATACAGTGACATGGGAGAATTTAGTTGAATCAGAATACCCAGGGCTTCCTTTAGAACTCTATTTATCTTACTCTTGACACCAGGCAATTGATGCTAGCAAGAAGCGTGGAGTCAGACATTCCCTCTTCTTAACCCCAGTTAGCACTGAAGAATTCTTGCCTCTGTGCTGTTGTTCTTGCCTTTTACTTACATATAAAAAGTCCTTTCTAACCCAACTCCATGTCTCAAAACTTATCCAAACTTCAAAATTAAGATCATTTCCCAAAAAAGAAATAGTGATTTCTCCCTCTGTTAAACCCCCAAATTATGTTTTGATTATGTAACTCACTGGTCGGAGTTTGCCTATCTTGCTCCCAAATATGTCACTTGCGTTCTTGGAGCCAAACCTTAAAGTTAATAGGCACTCAATTAATATTCAAATGAATAAATAAATGGCAATGAATATGGCTATCATATACAATCCTTTCCTCCTAGAATAGATTAGAAATTCTTTGAGGATAACCATTATATCTTCTACTTCACTATTTCCACCAGTGCCTTTCACAAACACTCGATAGGTAATTGTTGAATTGATAGGTATTCTTATTCATTAAACGTGTGGTACTGATGAGCTTGGAAATTCAATAAAACAAAATAAGCATTCTGAGAAAAATCAATTAAGTCTATGCCTGGGAGCTTATAAGCATCACAGCTAGATGAGGACACCATCATCTGTTTCTAATCTGTAGCTCCTCCTCTAGGATTATTTTAACACATGAAAATGCACTGATATTAGCCTATCTGGGCATTATAAGGGACAATTTCCAGAAATAGTGACTAGATCATAAACTGGAAAGCATGTGGGAAAATAAATGAGCTATTCACCTCATTGAGGGGGTCAATAGAATTAGGACTTCTAGGACCATTTAAAAAAAATAAATTGCAATATGAAGTGCTTTTTTTTTAACATACAAAGCCTTGATTTTATTGTGATAGATTCAATTTGAAAAACACAAGGAGGAAATTTTAGCCTTAGATCTTATAGAGATGAATTAGTGCCAGCAAGGGATTCTGTGTCTGAAGCTGGCAGCTTACTGTGAAAGACATGTAAATATCATCTTTAATTGAATGAATATTCTATCTTTAAGTATGTATGATTGCACTGGCTTTCCAACAATTACTTTATTTCTTTGAAGAGCAATATTTAATGTCATGAGAATGGTATTTCCAAGCTACTAAAGTGATAACATTGTAATGGTTCAACTCATAACACATTGCCTTTGATCTGAAGGTGATTCTTACATACATAGATGCTTTATAGGTGCCTGATTGCAAAAACAATCCAGTGACTGGCTTACATAAAACTCTGGAGATATGGTATCTGTTCTAATGTGTAATAAAAGAATGTCAACTACAAAAAGGTATTAAGATGACCCAAAAGATAGGGAAAATTGAAGAAGCCTTAAAAAAAAAATGACAAAATGTTTGACCTCATCTGTTTTTCCAACTAGTAAGATTTATATATCACATTAATTTATTAATGAATTTTAGGATTATATTATGTGAAAGAAGTTTAAGGGTTTTTAAAAAGTTGTAAATATTAGAAATTAAATTTTTGGTGTCTTAAAATGGGAAAAGATGACAAACCAATTAAGTTCAGACTGAGTCTCTACATTGTCTGATAAAAGTACTGTTGCAGCATGCCTTACATAAGAATAGCTGAAAATCAATAATACTTTAAACTCATATTTCTATGAAAGTTTTAGAGTATATACCAATGGATTATCTCAGCAAGTGACTCAATAGGTTTGATGTATTTTTGGTTGTTTCAGGTAAACAGACAATTTACTTCAGAAACTGGAGTTAAAAGCTTGCCAGTATAAGTTTACTGAGCAATCATCAAGGTATCTCTATAAATCATATAGAAAAAATGTTAATAAGCCATGCAGTAGCCTGTTAAATAGTCTTTAATTTTTTCTTCTCATATATTGTAAATATATTTTTCAAACACTCAACCAAACCTAATTTTATCCTTTAAAACACCACAGCCTAGTAGAGTGAATCCTCATTTAAACTAATAAATGGCCATAGATGCAAAATACTATTAGAATGAATCAGAATTTTACAGTAAAAGCAGTGTAAGAAACCATTTTTTTAAAGGTAAAATGACGCTAGAAATAGAGGATTCACTTTTGGAAGGCTTCATAATATTGAAAATATGACCCTTGCCCCTTTCAATTTGAAGATAAGCTAATAGGTTCACTCTGTACCTAAGAGCTGCAAGCACAACAGCCAACAGATACTTCCTATGCTCTCTTTTGTTAGGGGATTAACTCAGAAGCAATTCTTTGTATGTGAAGCTTTTTCTCTCCCCCACTGCAATAAAGGAGGAATAAAAAGGAAGCTGTGTTTCTTTCTCGGATTTCGGTTTTCTCAGCCCGGGTCTCATCTTCATGCATTGCTGAACAAGGCTGATTTGGTGAAGAGTTAATACTACAAAGCAGCTGAAGGAAAGACTCCTTTGCAAGGTAAATACTAGAATAAATCAGAATGTTTAGAGCCATTCTTTTTTCAAACACCTACCCTTTCTTAAAACCCTTTTGCATAGGGATCTAACTGGGTAGACTTTGTTAACTTGTGTCAAAATGGTCTTTTAAAAATGTAACAGATGGGTAATAATTGTGAACATGAAAATAAGGGTCAATTTACATGATAAAGTCCTCACTGAAGTATTTTGTCCAAAATCTATTTGCTAGTTGTATTGTTTAGTCCTTGATAGTCTATAAGCTATAGAAAACAGTCAAAATTCTTCATATTCTTGCTGACTAGTTAAAGTGGAATGGGCCTTTGCAAATAGAGAACTTCATATACTGTCATTTCTAACAATGCACTGGAAATACCTGGGTATTGTATTTACCTTATTAAATTGATATTATTCTTAATGTTAACAATAATAAAAAATAATCGCAGAATATATAAGGAGCTTAAACAACTCCACAGGAAAAATCTGGTAAATAAATAAAAAAATAGGCAAAATATGAGAATAGACATTTCTCAAAGGATATACAATTGACAAAAAAGGCATATGAAAAGGTGCTCAATATCACTGATCATCAGAGAAATGCAAATCAATTTACAATAAAAATATAAATTATTTCTACTATTTTTTAATTGTCATTAATAATAACTCAATGGGTTAATGTAACAAAGAATAATCTTATGCCTTACTTGCAGGGAACAAATCACAAGACAAGATGAAGATCCTAGTCCTGACTATGACCATCTTAGATTTTATGGTTTACTTCCTGGTAAGTTTTAGTATTTTGGATAATAGTAATTAGATGCAGGGGGAAAAAAATTAATACTTAGATCATCAGCTTACATTTAATGCAAGAAAGAATATTTTGCTAAATAAAACATCATTTTATTGTACTATTCTATTTCCTATTTGTACACTTCCTTCTTTTAAAATTAATTATATACATAATGAAGTAAAGAGAAGATAAGTTATAATGCATGGTAGTATATGATTTGAAGGGGTTTCTCTATGCTTTTTATATTATAAGAGATTCCTTACTAAAAGTTTGTTATGGAACATCTGAATTTATACCCACAGGGGATACTCAACCCTAACATACTTGTCAACTGTTCTTTTTTATAATTATATTGTGTATTTCTAACTTAGTTAATTTAACAACCAATGGATAAGGAAGAAAGCAGAGACCTTCAGAATGTTGCTTTATTTGATCAATTTAATGCTGCATATTGATTTCAGATTTTTAGTAAAGTATCTGCTGGGGTAATCTCACAAAAAAATGTCATACGTCTTTCTCTTTAGTTTAATGGGAGTGAGGAAATACGGTCAGACAAATCAACATTTGTCTGCCAATCTGCCTTTGTCCTCATCTGACAGCTATACAGCAAGTTCGGTCTCATTCATCCAAAAAAAAAAAAATCTGCACCTACAAAAGATTCTGATCGCTACTTGGGGTCTGCTGATGGAGTAACAAGGCTCTCTGGATTCCATTCAGAGAGAAACTAGCCAGACACCCTTCAAGACAACTTATATAACTTTCTTCCATTTGGGGATGATGCACTAAGTAACTCTATAGCTAATCAGACTTCAACTAGTTTTGCTTATGTCAAGGGTACAATAGGCAACTCAACTCAGGCAGAGGTTTCAAAGAACAAAGCTTCACCTCCTTCTGTAGCTATGCAAGATAATTCTGCTCCCAACATCACAATTCCCAACTTGGCACCCAACTCCCAAATAATACAGAACAGGATTAATGTTTCTGGGGGAAAGAGCATTACAGAACCTGTATCCATGACCACCTACCAATACAAGTCTGATTCCACTTCTATTTCTCACTTTCAGGCAGACTCCAAAGCAACTCAGAGTCTTGAACACGTCTTCCCATCCACTGGCAGATCTAAACCATTCTTTGCCCCTAATCTTGCTACATACATCCAAAATGCCAAAAACAAGTTCACTCCCTCAGCAGATGAGAATACCATTGCCAAATCAAATAAAACAACCTCCTTGGAACTAGTACCACTACTCATAAAGAAGAGGCAGGACCAGACGGTATGTTCTTTTTTTTTATACTTCAGCCCTTATGTCAGAAGCCAATACAGCAAAAATTGATACCACAGACATTCTACAGGAAGATCGTACAGCTCAGCTTGATATGCCTGATCTCGAGGACAACAAGATAATTATCACTGATACTACTTACATGGAAAGATATAGCAAAACTGCAAACAATGAGCCTGACCTTACAAAAAAAGACAATTCTATCAGATTTGAGGCCACAAATATAAAGAATGATGGTAGGACTAATTATGACAAAGCTGATACCAAATCTGTCATGATTGTCACTGATATTAATGAAGCTATTTCCAATATCAATTCCATTAATACTACAAATTATCCTCTTAATGGTAGAATGCATAAGAAAAGCAATAATATTGTCAGTAATTCCACTGATATTAAAACAATGATAGATGTATCTAAAAGTACAATGCATGTGGGGGACTTAATGATTTCCAAAACAAATGGTACCACCTCTACAAAGCATTACATTAACCCTAACACTGTAGAGCCAATTACTAACACTAACTTTAAAACAATGTGGCCTTTAAAGGAAGGTACCATAGTAGAAGCCAGACACACTGTTCAGATGGAAAACATCACGATGCCCTACAATATCAATACTGCTGAAGCAATTGAATCTAAAGCAAATGACTCAACAACTAAGTATCATTCTAATATACCTGCCAATATACAACTCAAAACTGATAGGGACAATTTTAAGTCTGTGAGCACTTACGGAATTGAGAATGTTATTTCCAGGGTCAAAGAATTTGCAAATATGAACCAAGATGACAGAGTTATAGAAGTCATCTTTATTCATCCAAACACTTCACCAGCAGAAATTAGAAGAAAAACTTACTCTCCTAACCCTGATGAAGATTATACCAAAACAGCAGGAAACAAAATTACTCTCCTTCCTGACAACTCTAATGTGTTTAATCTCCTATTCAAATATAAAATAATGCCCGTTACAATAGACAGCAAAAACCTCGTTAACAGAAGAGGTGGCAATAGAACCTCCTCCACCGTTACTGCAAATGACCCCCAAACCAAAAGGGACTTTGAAAGAACTACTGCACCTAAACATCCAGTTTCCAGAACAGTATCAGCCCTATAGTTTCTGTTACTCACCCTGTAACTGTTGAGTCTGTTTCTTCAGTAAAGACAATGAAGCTGGCATGACCTCAGCATCAAAGGTCGGTATTGCCTCTTCAGGTAAATCTACTAACTCTGTGAAGAAAGGAATTTGTGTTTCTACTAATGGCAAAAATGATGATGGTGTTGCAAGTCCTAGCCCTGAAATAGACATTTTTATGAACAAAGGACAAACTCTTCCATCAATAGCTGAATCATCTAAATTAATGCTTAATGCCTCAAATAATGAAGCTCAACCTTCTCTGCTAATTAAAGATGACTCTTTGACTGGTGCTTGGATAAAAATACTCGATTCTGTAGCTGAAAATTCTCATCTCATAAATGATGCCATTATATCAGTGGATCCTTTGAACATGCCATTGCAGTCTAATCTAATTACAGCTGATTTCACCTCTCCCAATGACAAACACAGTACCACTGCCAGTGCAGATGAGGGGACCACAAATATGACTGGCAGCTCTGAACTAAAAATTAATAAAGCCACCATGGCAGAAGGAAGACCCTCTGTACCTATTGCCTCCCTACATGCAAAGACATCTGGTATTCTTACTCCAAGAAAACCATTTATAAGTTTGATAGACAAAGAAGTGGTAAATGAAAATGAATCAACTCCCTATACAGAAGTACAATCTGTAATGGAAGAAGATACTGTTTTTCAAATAAAAAAAGACCTTCTACCTGCACACAATTTCAAGTACTTTGAATCAGAAGACAGTGGCTTTTAAAGGAGTGAATTTGCAGCTGCTGATATCACAAAGTTTCTATCACCAATTTAGTATTATTCCTAATGCTGAAGTAACAGTAAGTGACAGAGACCTTACTACTCCTGGAAAAGAAAATGTTTATCTTCTATATGATGTCACTAATCCTACAGGTGACAAAATACACTTTAAGCCAATGGCTACCAAAACAATAGTTAATGGTTTAGGTGAAAGTGCAGCAGAGAAACAGAAGGTGAAGGCAGTAGATGGCACTGTGTTCCTTCCGCCTAGCAATTCCATCCTCCAAACTGGAAGAATGTATTACCCTATACTTCCGAGCATATACTACAGTATAATCACTGATAATTCACTTACTGTCACCAGAAAGGACCTAAATGCTGCTTGGAACACCATCAAACACAAACCATCACTTTTCACAATGGACAAGCCAGACTCTATTGATTTCCGAGATGCCTATCAATCCCCTATTGCCATCACTTCAAGCACTGTCAAGAGACTTGTCAATAAAGGCAAAATGGCTGAAACCAAAATAAGTATCCCTCTTTCTATTCATATTGGAGCTGACAATATTTCTTATGTGGATAAAAACACTAAAGTTGCAACAAACATGGCTTCAATAGCTCCCACCTCACCAATAAGGAAAGACATACTGACCTTGAATGAAGTTAATACTGTCAATAATAAACCCAATAAGCTAGGAGATGGACTTAATATGTCCAGAGAAAATCCTAATGTGTCTAGAGATAATAGTACCTTATTAATTGCTAATTTCTCTACCATTATGAAGTTGGTTGCCCCTTTCATTCATCTTCAAGTAACAAACCTTGTTAAAAAGACCTCTTTGGCAGATATTATAATACCCAAAACTTATTTCCATAATAAGGCTACCCCAGAAGCTTTGACAATAGCCATCACCATTTCCTCTCAAGGAAATGACATGATATTTTATATTCCATGAAATGAATTGGAAAACTTTTTCAATAAAGATATTATGTTGAACTATGAAGCAGGTTCCCAAAATGAGGTAAGCATTATGGTAGAAGAAGCAGACACACTTGAAGAAGGAAATTTCAGGGATTATGTTTATGTCATACCTGTTGCAGGTGATAATGTTCCTAAACATAACAACTTGCCAGCTGAACAGTATTCTATTAATTCTAATACGTATCACTCCACTACATTCAGAGGAACAACCAAAGGCAGAGCCAATCCACCTGAATTTGAGAATTCTGCATCATCTTATAGGGTTGAAATTTCAAAACCTCTACTTGGAAAATTTACTACCAAGGTTCAAAGAAACGTGATTGTAAGAAACAGTACTAGTGGTTCTGATCATGATACATTTTTTGGTGGTGATACACTTTATCAAATAATGAAAGACAATGTCCCAGAAGGATATATCTATTCTCCTGAAAGAGCCTCTATCGTTACAACATCAGATTTTAGTATTCCAATGAAAAATAATGTAAACCCTGCTCTGCAAGGTATTGCGTTACTTGGTAAAGGTACTTTCAATGATCCTTATTTATCCTATGCTGATGAAAAAAATGAATCAGCAACAGAAAAAGACAAAATTGCTACAGGCGCCATAACTAACTCTCATATAGGTAGGCATCATACCTGTGACTTCCTTCACTACAGTTTCTTCTAAAGACATAAATCAGGAAAATTATTATCATATATCTGAAATAGGCACTCCTCTCTCACTGGCATATGAAAACAAAACAAAAGATAATTCCCTGATTTTTCAGCTTGGGACTACTCTGGAAAAGGAAAATAATGTGGATGGAATGAATTTGATCATCATGGAACCTGATGAAAGTGACTCTGAATATATTTCAAACAAGTATGTCTTTGAAATAGAAAATGAAGAAAATAGCCCTATTGTAAACCCTACTACATTTACACAAAGACCCCACAGATTTCTATCACATATACCCTTCTCTAATGATGAGGCCTCAAGGAGACTTCTGTATCAAATAACTCACCCTGAGTTTGAAACTAAAGAAAAATACCAAACTAGTATTATCAAAGAAGAAAATTCTGACTCTAATATTGTTGCCTCTTCTTTCAAAGATTATATCAAAAATTTTAACACTCAGCATCTGAAAACCATGGTTTCTTCCCTAATTGATGTGGGTGAGATTTTCTTTCCTGAGTTTCTAGAAAGAACATCTGCAGGAAAGGACGCTCTAAGTGCAGGTGATGCCATCATCATTCTCCCTGAAGTTTCTGGTTTAGAAAATGAAAAAATCAAGTATTTCTTTGTACCTCACATGGAGACCATTGTTACCATGGGAGAAGGCAGGATGTTGGGTGCTGTCCCTACTGATCATATTGTGGCCACTACCCCCATAAAAACCGAAGGTCATTTCTACGGGAAAGGCATTTCATCCAACATTCCTAACACAGCTGTCCTGGAGTTGGCAGACATCACCACACTGGAGAAATCAAAAGTCAATGAAAATGAAATGGATTTAGCTGAAGCAGTCTTTTCAGAAGACCATAATAATCCATTGGCTCAGAATGCTGCCTACCATGCGGAAACTATCTCTGATGTCAGTAAAATTACCAATTGTATTATCAAAGCAAATCAATGACTTCTCTTAATCTGCTCAATGCCACCAAAATGCCACCCAAGGCCAGCATTGTTTCACCTAATGACCCTGGATTTGAGTCTGACAGCAATGACAATAATGTTACTACCATGCCTAAGGTAGATGATGTCAGCTCCACAAAATTAAGATCTCTATTAATTCCCAATCAAAAAGTAATGGCACTTCCTCTTATTGAAAATGATGAATCTTTATCTGATACATTGGTGACATTAGAAGTATCAGAGCCACGGGGTGAACACTCTACCATCACCAACCAAAACTGGGAAATCACCAAAACACAAAGTACTTTTCAGCCTTTTTCCATGGTCTCCCCTGTTCCTCTGGTATATCCTGCTACTTTTTCAGAGACACCCATAAATATAGCCACTGATATACCTACCACTGAAAATGAGGTCATTAATGATAAAACTGACACCAGGGCCTTTTCACCTAATATAATCCTTCAACCTGTAATCCTCAAAAATGAAGGAATAAATAAAACATCTAACTATGATGTAAATCAAGCAGTTATTAAATTTTCTGTAAAAGAAATTGCTACTACAGGAACTAAGGCTAATGCATTCCTCAGTGGCAATAAGGCTTTTGCAGAAAATGAGTCCTGTATTTCTGAAGTCAATATTCCAGTGAACGTAAGAGATGTAAATGCAGTGGGAAGTGACCCATTCATCCTTAAGGCTGATGCTGCTTCTGCTGAACAGAAACCACCTGGAAAT